AAGGGAAAGGGGGGAGGGGACAAAAAAAAGGAAAAAAAACCCTTGCAGTAAACATATGTCAATTCTGGGTATATACTGTCTCCTTTTTTAACCCACCAACATGCATATAAGAACTAAGAAGCTTCTTAGAGCCCACAATGCAGGAAGAAGCATTTCTATTTCAAACCTGAAGGGGAGATAAAACACCCATCTTGGTTTGACGCAGTGTTATATAGCAGTCCCCTGACAAGGGTCTTCCAGCAATAATCTATCAAGGAACAGACATCCAGAAAGTAAAACTTGGAGACTTCTGACAGGCTACCTGGCTGTGAATACTCCAGGATGCAGGCCAGCGTGCTCCGGATTAGAGATGTCCACTGTTTCTGAGTTTCCTTGGTTTTGGCCATCGAAAGTGTCACGATGCTTTTTATCCCCTGCAGAGCTGCACTGACGGGAGGAGGAACCTGATTGTCTGCAGACTTTATTGCTGTATCTTTCAATATTCTTGCAATTAAGAACAGAATTGTGGGCAGGATTGTCATACAGCCTGAAATAAAAACAAATCAGGTCATTTTGTAACTCCTTCAGTTCCCACATGATAGCTATTTCCAACAACACACACACACACACACACACACACACACACACACACACACACACACACACACACACACAACAAACCCACACACAATTATTTTTAAACAGTTCACACACACACACACACACACACACACACACACACACACACACCTACCTCATATACACACAATTATTTTTAAACAGTTGATTGTGTTCTCTCCCTTAAGGTCTCATCATTTTGCATAGGCTGGTCCCTCACTCCTGGACTCAAGTAATCCTCCTGCCTCAGCATCACCATGCCTGACTTGACTTTTTTCCTTGATTTTATTTAAAATTTACTGTATTACTATCATTATTCATCAGTTTGAAAAATAATATAAGAAAGTGCTGTATTGTTTTAAACGGAAGTAGTATTTTCTTTTTTGTTCCAACTGAATCTTGTTGCTATCACTTCCAATGTAACCTATATAATCCTGCCCTTCATAATAGAAATGATAATAGAGGACAGAAAAACTGAAACACTAACCATATAATTTGAGTAGCCTGGTGAGTCTTAAAGTAACTCTAATATAACTTGAGTCAGGAAAAAAAGTACTGGGCAGGCAAATGTGGAATAAAGCATACTAGAATCTGTAGCCAAAACTGCTCTCCAGAGCAGCACCTATGGAACAACCATGATGGAGAAGTCATTGTTTTCACACTCATCAGGTAGGAGCCAAAAAGGTTTGCTTGGGATGAAATGTACCACATACCCTCTGGTACTACTTTTACTTTAAAACTGAGAGAAAGTCTATTATATAAAATAGTTTTCAGCATCTACAGATAACTATTATCTTTATTAACCATAATTCTTTTCAGTGCTCTTTAGGGCTGACTGTCACTCTTCAGACATACTTTTTCAGTGACACTCACAAATGGTACTAGATTATAAACCAGGAGCAGTCATTCTTCCCATATCTATCTGTTGATTTCATGTCTTCCTCCAGTCTTCAAGTTTTGATTTGTTTGTTATGCGGTGTTGGGGATCAAAACCAAGGCAAGGGAGGACCCTGCATATGCTGGCCAGCTCTCCAGCACCCAGCTACAGCCTGCTTCTCTCTCTGATGGTCGGACAGCAAGGCTACCTTAGGTTGCTAGTTTTAGAAACTTTAGCCTTTCCAAGGTTTTTACAGGCAAAGTAACTCTTTAAAAAGCTTCTCATTTAGCACCAAGATTAAGAAAGATAAGAAAACATTAAGATGCAAAGAAAGCTCATCTTTGCCTATGCACTTCCAAATACTGATCAGTACCGTACCAGCTGGTGAGCAAAGGGACGGCAAATCAGACAGAATGGCCACCGTGGCTGCCACCAAACGAGCACTTTCTTCTGACAGGCGAGTTTTCGTGGTACCGTGACTTGGAGAGTCCGACATCTTAGTAGACAGGTGTGGCATATGACGCACTAAGATGAACATCAAGAGCTCCATGGTTGAAAACACAAGAGACTTTCCAGGAATGAGGCCACCGCTGTCACCTCCTTCTCCTAATGTAGGACAGGACTCTTTTTCCATATCCTCTTCATCTTAGGAAAGATATAATTTGATGAAATTTCCAGAAAAAAATACATAAAATAAGTATATTTAAATTATTTCTAAAGGATTTATAAGTAAATGTATAAATGGTGCTATAGGCCCTTTTTGGTGCAATGTCCTGGACAGATGAACCCTTCTTAAAGCCACAGGCAATCCATTTCACCTGGAAAATCATGACTAGGTTTTTTATTATGTTTGTATTTCATAATAGAAATAACAAATATGCTAGGTTGAACCATATAAAATTGACACCTTTGAATGGAGGAAGTCCAGAATTAGCAATTTCTTTTTTAGTTTTAATTTTTTTGAGGCAAGCCCCTAGGTCACACTGACCTTCAATTTGCTACAGAGAAAGAACATGGAACGTATTGATCTTGTTTCTTTTACCTGCCCAATGCTGGGATCACAGGCATGCCCCATCATGCCTGGTTTATAAAACTTCTTGGTCCTATTGTTACGAAACTAGGAGTACAGGGCTGAAGAGATGGCTCAATGGTTAGGAACACTGGTTGCTATTCTAGAGGACCTGGGTTCAATTCCCAGCACCCATGTGGCAGCTCACAACCATCTGTAACGCCAGTTCTAGGGATCCAATGCCCTTCTGTCCTCTGTGGGCTCTACACATGCATGTAGTTTGAAGACATACATGCAGGCACGACATCCCCATATATGAACAAACCACAGAAGCCTCGGGGAAGAAAGGTTGGCTCCAAGTTAGTGCAGCTTCTGGCACTTACTTATGGTGTTTCTCTTTTCCTGTAAATGATCCTGAGCAGCCCCGACAATCTGCTGCACAACCCCAGTGACCAGCAGCTGGATGGAGGGTGGGTTCCAGGTCAGCAGCAGGCGGTGCAGGACACTTAGCAGCTCAACACCAATCAGCTATTATAAATTAACACAAATACATTTAAGTAATTTCCATTTCAAAGGACTGATGTATATAATAAAAATCTGAGAAAACAGACATGCAAAATTACTTTTTCTGCAAAATTACTTTTATAACTAATATTTAATATATAGGACTATTTAACAATAAAGAATAATAATAAAATCCAGAGGTAACACATTATCTTTTAAGATTTCCAAGCAACAAATAGCTAGTATTTAAATATTTAAACATCTGATATCCAGATATTATTATTCTCTACTGGAATAAAAGACCTGAGCCATTGGTATTGCTAGTCATTTAGGTCATCTTCCGACCTAAGCTGATTAACTGGTGTCTTCACTCACCTCAGAACTATTACACACTTGGATCTTAAACCTCTACAGTTTTCCACATCTAACTGATACAACGAGCATGCCTCAAATTAAAACACAGGAAAAAACTTAATTCAGCCAAACTCTTCTTCCTTCTTCTAAGATACAGAATGTCTGCATTCAGGGTGCTGCCTAGTTCTTAAAATACTTGCTCAGCATGCATGAGGCTTTGAACCCAATCCTAGAAGTACAAAGAAATTAAAAAAAAAAAAATCCAAGGCTATTCCATTTTTTCTCCTATGTCTTTCTCTTACTGTAGTAGACTTCTAGGAATTGGTAAAAGACCAATCAGGCCACCCTCCTCAGTGTAACTGAATGTTCTAGACTTTCTTACTTAAGGCCTCCTCTGTCCTCATCTATCATCTGCCTGCCTGCCTGCCTGCCTGCCTGTCTGTCTGTCTATCATCTATCTGTCTGTCTGTCTGTCTAGCATCTATTGTCTATCATGTATTTATGCAAATGTTTTCTCACTGAGTTACATCCTTTGCCTCTCATGACCTTTCCAAACAAAATTAATCATTCTTTTACTTAAACATTTTAATCATTTCCATTTACTTCCAGGATAGAATTCAAATTCCTTTGCATGTCATAAAGAAATCTTCATAATTTGGCCTTTACAGCATTGCCCAGTCCCATCTTATGACCGCTACCTGTTTTATATGAGCCATAGTAAATGGCTATAGTACCCTTGGACTTGTTGTCATGTTATCTCCTGAAGTTTTCCAGTTTTTGTAAGTATGTTGTTCTTTCTCAGAGGCAAATGCAATCTCTGGCAATTCTGATTCAATTACTCTCTCTCTCTCTCTGAGAAGTTGGTTTTTTTTACCTTTTGCATCACACCAATGGTGCCCCCACCTCCTTCCTTATCATCCCCATAGGAATAAAGTTAAGAAGGCATGGTGTCTAGCTGTAGCATAGCTCTGTGGTATAGTCATCCTACAATCAGTAGAGACAAAACCCTTTTCACTGGCATTAGTTAGACAATCTTGTTATCAATACACAATGTTTACTTCCAATGTGAGAAATTTACTCCAGAGTAGATATGATTACTAAAAAGCACACAATTATTCATTATAGAAATACACTGTACCTGATCTTCTGCAATGTGGATTCGTGCATAAGGAGACCCCAGTAAGGTGTGTAAGGCCTGCAGGCATGCTGTAACATGTTCAATGGGCTCCTCAGGTCGAGGAGAACAAAGAAACTGTATACTCACACCTGGAATGCACAGAGTAAAAACATGGGTTTTTAACACAAAACACTTGTGTTGCTTTGATATTATATTGTTCTCTATTTTTCCCAGATCACTATATATTTATTAGTACCAGAGAGTTAAAAATGTTTTCTATGCTAAGCAGACAAACACAACAAAGGGTGGTAGTCCTCAATTAGTTTAATATTCAAATTAGCCATGTGCAGCCTATCACTAGGTTGATTATGAAGACACATTTCAATTTCTAAAATTAAATAAATATAGTACATTAAGAACAAATTTATAAGTATTTCTACTTTTATTAGAGTTGCCCAACAATTTTGTATATGTGCATTTTTTAAAATATTTAATTCTGTGTATCTGTGTGTGGGTTTATTCACGTGAGTGCACATGCCTGCAGGCCACAGAATGAGGTCAGATCCAATGAATCTGGAGTTACAGCAGTTGGGAGGCCACTTGATGTGGGTGCTGGGGATGAGCTCAGGTCCCCTGGAAGAGCAATAAGTGCTCTTAACCACTAAGCCATCTCTCCAGGCTCCATGCAAGGTTTTTTAAATGTCAAGAACTCAATGTGTACAAGGCTAAAGCTTTGGAAGTTTTTCATATTTTCAGTTGTGAGATCTATGAACAAATTCCATAATTCCACCTTACTTGTTGTCTTCCTTTTCCAGAAAATATGAGATCACAAAAGTTCCTTCAGAATACGTAAATACTTAGATATTAAAAGAACACTTATAAATTAAAAATGATCTAAAAGCAGACTATAAACATTTTGTCTTCATTGGATAATCTACTAAATGCCAACATAAAGAAAATATATTGAATAAAAAAACTCAGGTTTTTTTTTTTTTTTCTTCGAAATTCAATATTCTGTGTGTGAACACCATGGCTAAACTTTTAGAGTAGTTTTAAATAATTTTTAGATTAAAATTCAGTTAACTTAAAAGTGGAGCTGAAAAAGTCCTTTTATTATTGTTTCCCTGAATTGTACTACGCAAACTTTTCCATAGCACTACAATGAGAGCTACAGCTGCTCTGAGGTGACAGCCCTGACACATACCATGGGGACACCTACCTAGGATCAGGTGCATTCTGCCTTTGTTGACTTCTGGCAAGGGTTTAGCACTAGCCATTGCTCCTGGTACCTGGTTTAAACCAACAGCCAGGGAGCGTTTTTGTGTGCCAGACACCGCTGCTGCTTCTGTGGACTCTGGACACGTAAATCCTGTGCTGTTTAACCAAAGTGCCACTGCATGGAGAATGGGGGCCCAGGAGTTCCGGTAGTGAAGTCTTGCTGTATCGATGGTCTCGGGAGTATAAAATGCTCCACCTGTGAAACAATCAAATCAAGTAAAGACATTGTTTTCAAAAATGTGCACTGGCAACAAGATCCTCCCCAAGCAAAGGCCTCCTCCCCAGCTAAGCCAGAAGGGCCCGTCCCTCCTGATGCCAACCTTCAGCCTTTCTCTCTGCCACCAAGGACACCATCCATCCTTGTATTGTTCTTCCTTGGAGGGACAAGCCGGACTTCTCCCTGCACTGTCTTCACCATAGCAGCCCTCTCTGCCTGTGTTCCACTCTCCTCTTCCTCCCCACCTCCCATTCCTGCAGCCAACCCTGAGCTGCTTTCTCCTGGCTATCATAGTGCCTAATGGGAGAATAAAAGGGGGCTCAATCCTTGTCATTAAAATAATCTGGGAGGAAGAATGAGGTTTTTGAGGAGGAATTAATCAACATTTCCTAATCAAAAACAGTTCATAAAGATTTCTGGATTGATCTCAATAGGGGAACTGATTAAATACAAACACGAAAAAGCCTTAGGAACACAGCTCATGGTTCAACTAGGATTTACAAGAAAACACCATCACAGGGCAGCACAGTGGTATACTTCATCATGGTGATGGTCACTAACTGCTTAGCTGGTCCCACAGCTATACAGCTACCACTGCAATAGCACTAAAGTTTTCGCTTCAGCTAACCATGCTCCCTGGTCATAGCCTGAATTCACAAAATTGGTGTGAAGGACATGCCCTAAATGAAACAATGCCAAGTACTAGCCTCTGCCAAGCCCATCTTGCTTAATATTAGTTTGAACTCCATAAAAGCAAACTACGGCACAGGATACTTACCGTCTGGGGGAAGCTGACTAGAGAATTCAGCAGGTAAAGTCAAAAGTGCGTAGTCTTTCAGGGCTGCCAGCCACAGGCGGCTGAGCGTCGGCAGCTCAGGCTGCACCAGGGTTATTAAGCTATCTGGAGGTAGTTCATCTATGGTGCCATAGTCATCATCATCATCATCGGGAGTTCTCATCGCTCTCTTTGGCTTTGACTCTGCTTCTTTTTTAATATTCATAGCAACCACATAGACCTAATAAGACATTCATGAGTTGAAAGTAAGGTATCAGATAAAACTGAGTATTTTAAATTGTTGTAATTATGCAGTTAAATGGTCAAGGAGAATTGGGTGTGGATATTAGAAAGTGTACAACTTTATGAATTCTCTACCTCCCGCTGCAGAAGTGTTTTTAATTAATCTGATTTCTGACTGTTCCTCTTGTACCATATTCCTTAAGTAGTCTTCTCTGGATTATTCTGGCATCCTTGTTCTGCTTTACAAAGCCTCCTTTTTCCCAGCCCAGAGTATGACTTCCTGTCTACTGCCTTTCCCAGGCTGACTAGACATAATGGAACAGACTTCAGAGACACAGACTGAGAGGAGGGAGGTGGCCAGAGAAAGGGTACCCATAATTATCCCCTAACCCGCCTCCTAACCCGCCTCCTACACAGGCCTTAAGTGACACTTAGCAATCTCACATTATCACAGACAGCCATCTAAGAATATAATGGATTTATCACATGTGGTATCTATGCCCTTTGTAGTTTATGGACTTTTTAAAAAGACATGTAATACCAACTCTCTGAAAGCACACTCAGGGTACTTTCTTGCTGAGTTTATTTTTGTACTTATGTTTAGGCTCTGGAGAACTGATAACACAGTGCTGAAAAATGGGGAAAGGGAATAAAACAGGCAAGAGAAACAGCTGCACTACACCAAAGTCTTGCAAAGCTTCCCGTTCTTTGGCACTGTTCCTGGGGGCCTACCTCGGAAGCTCATGGTGATAGACAGGGCTTACCTTACACTCATTCATACTGTGGGGAGACGGCTAGAGCACAGACTTAACAAAATTCTAGAGTAGACAGACTGTAGCTTGGATTATAAACACCACATTCATGTTTCCCAGAGGGGGTTTGGTTTGGGTTCTTTGGAGGGGCTTTGTTTTGTGTTTGAGACAGGGTTTCTCTGTGGCTTTGGAGGCTGTCCTGGAACTCACTCTGTAGACCAGGCTGGCCTCAAACTCACAGAGATCTGCCGGCCTCTGCCTCCTATGTATTGGCATGTACCACAGACGCACTTTTCCTAATCATTTTAAGATTGCCCTCTACCTCAATTTTGATATCATACTGACATTCTAAGAAAGTGCCCAAAAAACAATATAAATGACTCAAGTCCCACTTGAGTCACCTCAAGTCTATCACCAGTTGTCACCTCCAGTCCAACACCAGCAGTCACCTCAAGTCCCTCACCAGCAGTGACCTCAATTCCAACACCAGCAGTGACCTCAGGTCTAACACCAGCTGTCACCTCCAGTCCATCACCAGCAGTCACCTCAAGTCCATCATCAGCTGTCACCTCAATTCCAACACCAGCTGTCACCTCAAGTTCATCACCAGCAGTGATGGACTTAAGGATTCCAAGTATCCCCCTGAGGGCCATAAGATGGTCCATTTGGTTGTTGCCAGGACTCTGCCATATACTGGCTCCGGCCCATCTTGAGGCCTTGCAAATGCCTCTAGCACTTTCCATTAAAGAAACTAGAAACAAGGATCACTCATAGGTTTTTTTTTTTTTTTTTGAGACTGGATCTTCCTTCTGGTTGGCCTAATACTATGTACACCAAAGATGACCTAGAATTCATGGTTATCCTGCTACTTCCTACTCCCACAGGCTGGGATACATCCTTTTAGAACTTACTTATTTTATTATTGAATTGAAACTAGGCTTCCTATGTGTATCCTAGGATGCCCTCCTCTTGAGTTTAAGAGCCTCCTAGAACCCCGGGATGAGTAGGATCATCTAACTTGACTTCAAATCTGAGACTTCAGCAACTCTAGCCTGTGCCTCCCTGCCAGCTGTATATAATTCTGCCCCAGCTGCACCTACCTGATCTTATGGTCGAAGGAGTTCCCACAGAATTTAGAGCATTCCATGTACAAAGATATAAGACTGTCTTCTTTGGTGTTAAACTGAGACTTTCTGGTATGTCTGTGTGATGGTTTGATCAGGAATAGCCTCCATTGGCTCATATTTGACTGTCTGGTCATTAGAGAGGCACTAGTAGGAGGTGCGGCCTTTTCAGAGTAGGTGTGGGCTTGTTGCACAAACTGCTTTACAAGAGTTGCCATAGGGGGAGGGTCTAGGCTCTGCCCCAAATGACAGATTTTGATGGGAGGGAGAAGGAAATTAGATCATTTCTAATTTAAATCAAATGTACAAAATCATTTCTATTTAAATAAAATGTATAAAATTGTTTCCAATTTAAATGAAATTTATGGAGAAAAAATACACTATAAACATAACCAGCAATTTGTTTGAATACTTAGTTGGCACCCTGCTTTTATTATTGTGCTAGACAACAAAGATGAAAATACCTACTTTTTCTTTCTATGAACTCAGAAATACAACGGTAAGGGAATGATAAAATGCTGAAAAGAATTTTTTAAAGAATTTTCAGTTTGTTTTTAGGCTGAGTGTACGCCAGTAATCTTGGAAGGCTGATGTTAAATCTGGGTCTGAGGCCAGTTTGGGTCATACAGAAAGACACTGTCTTAAACAGCATACAGCAGTAAAATGTAAAGAAAGAATGAAAAGACAAAAATGAAAAGTCCCAAACTTTGTACATGTAGCACCTGCCCTACCATATCCCACCTTGTGTCTGGCACCAATTGAGCACAAGTGGCTTCTGAAGTGAATGACAGACCTGAGGGAGCACCAATGAGGGAGCACAATGAGGGAGCACCATAAGGGCAGATCATAACCACAGAATACAGCAAAGGCAGGGCAGAGTATTCCAGGGCAAGCATTCACTCTCAGGTCAAGGACAGAGTGACTGTAGGTGGGAGGAACAGCAAGGACAAGAACAGGAAAGCAGAAAACTGTGTGTGTGCAGCTCTTGCCTGAACACAGGAGACAAGGTAGAAATACCTGGAGCTTTTACTTGGTAGGCAATGAGCAAGGAGAATCACTGCAGCGATTTTTACGTCAGATATACACATTTTCCCACAGCTTTCGCTTTAATAAATGCATTCTAAGAGGTCCGGGAAGTAAAAACCACATGTGGCATCAGCACACTTATAATCCCAGTACCCAGAAGTCTGAAGCCAGGAAATCACACAAGCTTAAAGCCAGCCTGGTCTACATAATGAACGAGTTCCAGGCTATCCAGCATACATAGTGAGATGCTACCTCAAAACACAACACAACAAATAATTAGAATGTAAGAGTCTAAAATGCCTCATAGTCCCAATTCCCTCTTTCTTTCTTTCTTTCTTCCTTCCTTTTTTTTTTTTTTTTTTTTGAGACAGGGTCCCAATTCCCAATTTCATGTTCTGTCTTAAGCTGTAATAGATCTTTCTACTTAATTTTATCAGTCAATATGCAGTTTTCTCAGTCTTCATAACCACATCCTAATGGCTGCACAGCACAGACCATAATGTGTTCACTAATTTCCCTACAACTGAACAGATCTCATGTTTTCTTCTGATGGTTTAGCTTAGGCAATCACACACCATAAAGACATACCAAAGGACATTGACTGCTTAGTGTTACAAATAACGCTGTAAGTAAACATATCCATGAACTTGTTTCTTGTCTTTTCAGAGAAAAGGATCATAGAAGGAATTCCAGGGTCAGTGATGACAAATATTTTTCTGGCTCTCAAGAGGAGTGTGGAGTGCTTTGTCGTGGTGGTTGTACACTCATACAAGCACAAGCTATGAGATGGAGGAAGATATGGAGGTTCTGAAGGTGGCTAGCGATCTGAATAATTGCTATTCAAGGCTTTAGTGGAAGTAATCTCAATGAGTGAATAAC